TTAAAAGAAAGTAAGAGAAATAGTATGTATGTCACAAAAAGAAGGGTTATGCACACTTGCTAGAAAAAGGAGTTCCAAAATTTCATAGAGTGCACATTTTTTTTGGAAATTTAGAAAAAGAAGCTTGAAATTTTGTAAAAAAAAAAGTGTATAAATAAAAATAGAAGTTAGGTGATGCAAGGAGAAGTAGGGATGTTAGGATCACTAGGACAATCATGAGGGAGAAAGGGGAGGGAAGGATAGAAATCCAAAGAAAGCAAGGATAAGGGTATGCATATCACATGAAATAGGCCCCACAAAAAGCCTTGCTCAAGGATTTGGACGAGAAACAAATTTTCTTTTCTATTGTGTTCCTATATAACCCCAACCATTTCTACTAGATTAATTTAGAGTTTAGTGAAAGGATAAGTCTATCTTATCCTAGTAACTCACCAAACTATAAATTAGAATATGATATAATTTATTATAACCTATCCTATTCATCATGTCTACCAAATAAGTTCTTAAAGTTCTCTTATTTATGTAACCAGAACTTTAAGAATTGCATTTTAAATTAATAATCATGTTATATATATTTAAGAAACAATTTCTTTGAAAGCTATTCCACACAGAGGTTTTGCTTAATATCCCTTTCTAGCATGATTTTTATAACAACCAAATTTTATAGGATTTTGTTTATACTCAATTATGTAGTATGTGAAATTTAGAATTAAGCAAAACTTATTTTTATTTAAGTAATCATACACATCCATAATTGTGTGTGGAAATAATATATAATAATATATTTTCACAAGAAAATATCTACTTAGAAATTTTACAAAGCAATTTTTCACTCTCTTAAGGGCCATGATTTAGTTAATATGACTATGTTCTTGTAAAGAAAATTCTACTTGAAATCTTGTCACAATTCTTATATACTTAACAATGGACCAGAACTCTTTATCTCTTGTTGACATAGAGGATGAATAAAGAGGAGTCATGTTCTTTCCCACTCCTTGTGGGATTTATCTATCACTTACTTATAGGGTTAGTGAAAAGGTATATACACATTCTTGTTAACCATGATATGATGTTTCACATTTAGATTATCCCGATTTTAGGTTGCAAAATAATTTGACACCAATGATACTTTTTCTTTTGAAGTCTTTTAACCAGTATCCTTCTCTTAAGGTATCCATAGTTTATCTCCTTAACATGCAATTTTCTTCTTTTCAAAATTTCGGTAACCTCTCAAAGTACATGCTTTTTTCCCCCTCTAATATATGTCAATTCTTTAAAATGATGTGTGTTCATACTATTTAATTTATTCTTTTCTCAATTTCTTGACCTACCTATCACAATCTTTCCCTTTAGCTAATCCTTCAATATTATTTCTATGGTCTAGCTTTAACCCTATTTATTTTACTATTTAAATTATTTACATTTTTACCATTATTTTTCTCTCACTATTTAGACAAATAAAAAATTATAGAATAATTTTTCATTATATTTTTTAAAATTAAATAAAATATAATTAGATTTATAAAATCAAAGTTAACTAAAATAATATAACTAGTAGTTAATATAATGTTTAAATCTATTAAAATATTTTTAGATTCATGAGTTATTGACCAATAACTCAATGAATAATAAAACCTAATAAAAAAAAATCTAACCTATTTTAAAGATAAAAGAAGAGAAATATAAAGGTTTTGTAATTAAATTTCTTAAATGTAATTTATCAAAAAAATATACCAATAAATTAGGGTTTTAAATAACCTTAATAATCACATTTTTGTTAATCTAGAAACACTATATTCATAAATATAAATGAAATTAAAGCCTTTAAATAAAATTATATATAATTATATACATATTTATATAAATAGGAACTAACTATTGTTTTTACACTAATCAGTTTGGGATACAGATAGTTCTAAAATATATTCATATGTCAATTTTTTTGAAATATTAGTTAAACAAATATCTAGCAAATCAAATAAAATTTTATAAGAAACTGTCTAAATAATAAGCCTTTTATAAGTTTTAAATAGATATTCATATAAACAAAAACTAAATAATGTACATACACATCCATTTAGAAAATAGAAAATTCTTAAAATGTAATTAAGAGTGAAAACAAAGTTTTTGAAGTATCAAGAGACATAAAACGCGTCGAATAATAATTTTTTTGGAAACTCTTTAAGTATGAATTTAATTAGCAAAAATAATCAATATAGAACACAAATATATTAAAAAATAATTAAATATACTGAGAATTATTTTAGTTATCCAAACAAACATTCACATTGGAGTTAAGCATTCCCTTCAACTAAATTTAAATATCCTATATCTCTCCAGACTTTAAAGTTGTATTTGGATGGAAAAATTTTAAAATTCTATAAAATATGAAATCAATGATAAAAGATGTTTAAAGTGAGAATCAAATATGAAAAAAATTAAATAATTTTTTTATAAAATTCTTTCTAAAAATAATTTATTTGAAATTTTTTTTATTTGACATAAAATTATATAGTTAAAATTCTATACTATTTAAAAAATGCTTTTCTTTATTATCTAAATAAATGCGCTATAATAAAGTTGAATTACTCTATTCAAACACAACATAATATCTTCCTCTTTACCTTACCCTTCATAAAATAATTGAGGAATTTTAAGATCAGTAAACAAAAACTAGAGGTCTAGAGGTAGGTGGCTCTCAACCAAATTAAGGAAAAGAGAAAAAAAGAGTTTATTTGAAAAATTACTACTATGTTGAGACTTTGTTCTCGAAACTAACATATTTTTCTCCTTGAAGATATCCGAGAATAATGGTTGTTTCTAAAGGAGGTGAGGAATAAGCAAAGGTTGAGAATTGAATAGAAGTTTATGAGAAAAATGACTTTGATAAAAGAAAAGTAATAAAATTTAACTCGCGGTGGCATTCTCATACTCAATTAGGATTTGAAATTGCTAAATCTTTGAAATTATATAACACTGAGAAAAAGATAGAGTTTTAGTTTGTCACGAAAATGGTCAAGTTTGATCTCCATTTTGTATGACACCTAAACTCCACTTGAATTAAACTTGACTATTATTGGGAATAAAACTGAAGTTAATGGTTTTTGGTTTTTTCTGGATCATTTAATCCAGGTCATGTTCACCCAAAAATAAGAATAATAATAAAATCCCAGGGTCACAAACAACTTAGAGCTTGATTTTTTTTCCCCCTCACACTTTAATTAATTAGGCATTGATCAAACTATTTTATCAAAAATTAAATTAAGGGTTAGCCAAACTTAGGTTTGAAAGTAATAATTTTATGAGCTTAACTAATTTTAAAGAATTGTGTTTTATATTCATTTCATTTTACACTGTATATATAAGGTTAAAGAATAAAATTTAAAAGTAACCCAAAAAACAATTAAAAAAATAAATTTTGAAATAACGTAACAAATTTATACTTAAAAATCTCTAGCAAAGGTTTTAAGGTGATTTTTTTAACACTTAAGAATATAGTTAAATTAAAATTGCTAAAGTTATGAATTAGAATTCTCTAATAATTAAATAACAATATTTTAAGAATTAAAATTTTAGAACAAGACATCTCTCATACTTTTTTAAAGTGTGACTTATTTAATTTTTGTTAAACAATTCGACACCATTTACATATATAAAAAAAAAAAAAAACCGACTTAATTAGTTTACTTCAATTCCAAAAATAATTGATTCAAATTATGATTTAGATAAGATATCTAATCGATTCTCTATTAGGTCTAAGTTTTTAATCATTACCTTTACCATAGGACTTTCTTCTTATTATAGATGAGTTTTCACCTCTCTTTAAAAACATTTCTTTTTTATAAAATCGTTTATTCTTTCTTTTATTCCATCCTTTCATCATCTTTCTCCTTTACTGCTACTTTGATTCTTCTCCTTGTCTCGGCCTCCATATTTTTCTTTTTTTTCATCACTCTTCTCCTTTCACATACACCAACCATCCCTCCCTTCTTGATAAGTTTTTTTTTTTTGTTCATTCCTTTGGTCTAAAAGATAAGATTATCAATAGTTAATCATCATTAAATGAGCAAGCTATTTTTTGTAATTATTTTTGTTACAACATTATAAAATCACTCTAAAGTTTTTAATTGAAAAATAAGAGAAGAAGGACTGAATGTGTTTGTAAAAATACTTTTTCTTTCTAAAATTTGTAAGTTTTTCAAACTAGTAATTTAAAAAGAAAAAGTTGTATCATACAAGAGAAAAAAGATAAGGCAATGAGCAATTGAGTTGTATCATACAAGAAAAAGTTGTATCATACAAGTCTTTTGATATGATTTTTCAACTAATTACACTAAGTATTTTTCTATACACCTAAAGACTAAAAAAGAATTGAGTTTAACAAGATAAGAAAGACTTTGAAGGCTGTGATAGTTAAATATTTACTTCTTTTATGCCAAGTATCAAAATAGCAAAAAAAATATAAGAGAATAAATATGATTTTGTCTTTTTTAAATAAATATAACTTTATTCTTTTTAATAATAATTTTATTGATAAAAAGTATAATTTTTAAAGATTGACAAACTCTCCTAGTTTGTACATATAATTTATTCTTTGAAATTGTCTATTTTTTCATCCATATCTTAAATAAATCATTTGATAGATTAAACTATTAGATAAACAATATTCTTAATATAAAAAACTCTTCAATCATAAAAAAATTAAACAAACCGTTCAATCTTTAACACTTATAAATTTTCTTTTGTAGTGCCATTAGACTGCTCTTCCAACTTTTATAATATCTTTAATCCTAAAAAATCTCTCTTCATGAAATATTTTTTTTTCTTAATATAATTTGAATTCCCTTATTTAACTTTCACAACTCTTTTGATTTCATTTAAGATAATTATGTAATTGTAATTTAAAAATTAAATTAGGTGTAACGTTTGATAAAAATTAAAATATGAAAAATGATTGTTTAAAGACTCCCAGAACCAACGAAAAAAAAAAAATCTCTGAAATAAATAAACTGAACCAATCATACATGTGATTTATGAGAAATTTTAAAACAATGATATACAAGGAGTATAACCCACGATTGCAAGCTTAAATGGAAGTTGAACTAAACATTGTTATGATCTCAAATCAACATCAATAGGCTGCTAACCGTGCAGGATTAGTGAACTATATTCGAACAGAAACTGGCATAAATCAACTGATAAATACACCATAAGAAAATAGAACAAACTTCATTAGCTACTATGATAATTCGCCGAGAGCAAAGTTAGAACTAAGAAAAGGGTACAACTGCTATTGACCAAAGAAAAACTAAGCTAAATCGCTAAAAATTCCTATACACAAGAAAAAAAAGTGTAATCGACCAACCAATTAGGCATCATAATTGGTACGTGAAACAAGCCTTCCCATTCTTGTAAGACATTCTTATAATCTTCAACCTTGCCACTTTACATGTTCATTCTCATATGGCTCAGCAAATCTTTGTTGCCAACGTTGTTCACTCTCTTTCAGCTCTAAATTTGGGTCTGGTTTATCAACTCAACTCGACTTTCCTGACTTTTTCTGAGCCGGTTTTTTATTTTACTTAGTGTCAGAAGGGGAAAACAAGCAAAACCTTGGAGCACAAAATAGTCGTGCCAAGTTTCAAGAATGTAACAGCCAAGATTAGGAGATTACAAAGAATACACAAACTTTACATATCATGGTCTATGAGTAGTACATCACGAATTCAGACAGTAAACTCCAATTTTACCCTACAAGCAACGTATAAAGATCCCTCAACCATAAAATAATAATAAATATGTAAATTACATCAGGGTCCAGCAAACCCATAATGGATCACTATCATACAAGGAGAGGAAGACGAATTCAGCTAGGAGCCAAGCTCATCGTACCCACGAAACAGAATCAATTTCATCCCTGGCTGCTTTATATAGTTCGAGCCTTTTCGCACACTGTTGTCTCCTCTCCATCAATGCAGGGTCTTCGTCCAACAATTGGGACAGCTGTTTACCCTACAGCAAGGAAAATTTCATCAAGGACATTGAAATTATGTAAAACAGTAAGTACATAAAGTTCGGCATGGAGGAATAGAATGTGAACGCATAGTTACATCACAATAGAGGATTAGTTTATCATGACAAACAGAAAAAGCGTTGAGATGATAACTTCGTTTCAAACCATAAATTAGTTTCAACACAGACACGTTCCTTTAAATAGCACCATCATATAAATTTTGATGGTTCATTTATATGTTCTGTTCATGGCTGGCTCAAACTACTACAAATTCTAAGAAATACACAACTGTATACAGTGTTTGAAGCACCTCAACAGATATAATGGACCGACAGTCAACAATTTTTATATTGATACAAATAAAGCAATTTGCCAATCTTTATTATACTTTTTATCAATAAAATTCACACAAAATAACAGCTAAGACATAATTCTGAAAGTAAATTATCACATAAAAGCAATATGCAACTGAGTGATCTTTCCATGGTATAGCTATTTTGATAGGAGTAAGGGTCTTAACCCTAATATCTTTGTAAATACTAACCTAGACAAGGCCAAGCCTTGGCTGGTTTACTCTAAAAAAAAGAGGACGGTTAATAATGTTAGTTAGCAGTTGGCAATTAGCAATTAGGAGTTAGGAGTTATTTTTCTGTTTCAAGCCCCAGTTATAAATAATAGCTGGGAGAGTAGTTAGGGGTCTCTTTTGGAAAGTTAGTTTCTGAAACTTGGCAGAGAAAATTCTCTGAGGAGCACTGCTCTGGGAAACAGAGTTGTATACAGAAAATTCATCAATTCAATGAAGAATTCATAAAGATTGTTTTCTCTACCCTCTTTTCTGGTGAACACAACATATTTACTGCCAAGCTTGTAGAAAAAGATGTTTGTATGCAGCTGATTGTCTCCAAGAGTACTTCCCTATCCCAAACAATTATCAAAGTTTTTACGTATAAAGGTGAATGGTAAGATAAATCAAATAACAGAAAGGCATGTCATCCACTCTCCTCACTAGTGCCTCCAAAGGTCTTCTTATGGGTCTGGTCAATAACTAATAAAATCTATCTGTTTGGATAAAGATAGGTTTTATACTAATTTTCCAACAACACTTACGTTCATCCAAAATAGATGGTGATAATAAACAGAAGCAAGGTGCAAGAGAGAATGATGTACCTCTTTCTTCCCTATTTGTGTGTAGAAATGGTTTAGCAAATACTGTTTTGCTTGTCTGACCTGGCAATAAACCACAGCCTTAGGAATTGTGATCCTAAGTGTGTCTGCCACCAACCCTATATAGGATGACACATTCGATGCAATTCTCCTGAAATGTCCCTCTGCATATCGATCAATGTTTGAGGCAGCAGGACTTCCACTTTTCTCCACTTCTTGAGGAAGTTTTCGGAAGAAGTCCACAGTGAGATAAGATGATTCCATGTCTACAAGCCGAAGAGTTGTCTTCTTACTCTCTTCACGAAACCTTTCTAGAGCCTCATTTGCGGCAGCAGCTAGTTCGGCTTGAAATGTTGGGAAGCGCTTCAGTTCCTGCAGAGTCACATATTAGTATCTTAACTAACTATCCCAGCAGTTTGTAAACAAAATAAATATAAAATATACTCCCAAAGGTTACCCGAGTTTCAGCTATTGATTTCCTTACAAGTTCTTTTAGAACGAAGTTAACCTACCAAAAAATCAAGAAAAGGAAGCTTAAATTTTTTACTGTTAGATAAAAATTAATAACCAGAGAACAAACCAGAGTGCTTACAGCATCCACTGAAGCTTCAGCTGGGCCTCTAAAGTAACTGAGAGCCCCATCAATCAGGCGCCTGTAACCTTGCTCTGGCGCAATCAAGTGAGGCTGATATCCATCAGCCTCTGATACCACTTTCCTTACATTCTGGAGAGAAAGGTGCCGGTCAAATGGAAGCTTTCGTAAAGCAGCAGGAAGTTGATTGTCAAAGACATTATATATCCTATCTCCTCCTGGCCGCCTAAGAACAAAATAGAAAAATAATATGTAAATAAAGAGACCTATCAACAAGTTTGTCAGACATAACAAAGTCAATCCAAACAATAATTTCAAACTGTTTTAGCTTATGCAGTGGACAACTAATCACATCACAAAGGTTCCTATTGCTGAAAGCACATTTTCAATCAGAAGTGCATAACAAACAAACCATTCATCATTTCAAGCTGTAAAGCCCAGATACGTCAAAAATGGCAAAGTACCTGTATCGGACACGTATCCGATACGCTTAGATACGTACCCAAGAAGTATCAAAAATTAAATTTATTTTTAAAAATTAAATTTAAACTGGATACAGTTGCGATACGGCTTGGATATGGCTCCAAATATTTTGATACGGCTCGGAAATGGCTTGGAAACGGCTCCAAATCAGCTTAGCTAAAAACTTATTTCAGATTGAGTGAATCAACAAAATTGAAACGGAGAGTTTCACTTCATCTTTCACTTTCCCATTTCTTCTATCATTCGTGAGTTAGGAACAAAACAGAACACCCTAAAATCAAAAATCAGCTAGGGTTCACGGTTCAAAACTCATCTATTTCTCCATTTTCATCATCGTTTTGAGGTTGGATTATGGGCTTCACGGTTCGACATTTGAAATGGAAGGTACCCAGAAAGCAAAGCTAAGAGGATAACCCGCACAACCAGGTTCGACCCATCGTATCCTTTCTTCTTCAACACCTCTGGCGCCACGTAAGCTGGCATTCTGCACGGCGTGAGGAGCATCCCGGATTTCCGCTGCTCAGGCAAGGCAAAGAAGACAAAGTTGGAGACCTTGAGTTCCTCATTCTCATCAAGGAGGAGATTTTCGGGCTTCAAGTCAGTGGGTGTGTTCTGAACTTTGTTCCTCTTCTCTCTTCTCACTTCTCTGGACTTTAGCAACAATTTTAACATTTTTTCTCCATTGCTGTAGCGGTTCAAGTCAGTGGGTGTATTCTGAACTTTGTTTCTCTTCTCTCTTCTCTTCTCTGGACTTCAGCAACAATTTTAACGTTCTTTCTCCATTGCTGTGGTGGTAAAATCTCACAAACTTCCTCTTTCATAAATTTATATTTTCTATTCATTTTATAGCAATATTCAATAAAGTAAAAATATTATTCTTGCATTTTTTCACAGCTGTGTTTAATGACAAAAAATGAGTTTTGGTTCTGACTCTAGTTTTAGAATTCCAAGTAACTTTGGTTCATTAGAATTTCAAGATGATCATGCTCCACTTTGGGCATTTGTCACTATAAAAGATAAGCTAGGAGATGGAGGAGGCAACAAGCTATGGAGTTGTAATTTTTGTGCTAAAGTGGTCAAAAGTTCATACTCAAGAGTGAAAGCACATTTACTTAGAATATCAGGTGCTGGTGTTGCTCTTTGTCCTAAGGTCACTCCTGAATATTTGGCTGATTTGAAGAGAATTTGTGAAGAAGCTGAGAATAAAATTAAGCCCAAAACTATCCCACTACCTTCAGCAGCTCCAGCAACCTTATCCCAGAAAAGAAAAAAATAGGAAGTGGTACACTAGAAAGGGCTTTCAATGAAGATGAAAGAAATCAACTTAGAGCAGAGATAGCAAGAATGTTTTATTCAGCTGGCTTATCATTTCATCTTGCTAGAAATTCTTACTATGTTAGCTCTTATTCATTTGCTGCAAACCATAACCTTAGTGGTTTCCTTCCTCCTAGTTATAATACTTTAAGAACAAGTCTTTTACAACAAGAGAGATCTGATATTGAAAGATTGCTCCAACCTATAAAATCTTTATGGCTTATAAAAGGAGTTACATTGATTTCTGATGGATGGACAGATGTTCAAAGAAGGCCATTGATAAATCTCATGGCTGTAAGTGAAGGAGGACCAATATTTTTAAAGGCTGTTGATGGTTCTAAGGAGTACAAGGACAAACACTATATGGCCAGCATAATAAAGGATGTAATTAATGAAGTAGGGCCAAAAAATGTTGTTCAAATCATAACGGATAATGCTCCTGTTTGTAAGGCAGCCGGGATGTTAATTGAAGCTGAGTTTCATCATGTATTTTGGACTCCTTGTGTTGTTCATACTTTGAATTTAACATTGAAAAACATATGTGCAGCTAGAAATATTGATGGAAATGAAAATATTTTCAATGAGTGTCATTGGATCACTCTCCTAGTTGATGATGCATCTTTTATCAAGACTTTCATAATGACTCACTCTATGAAATTGGCTATTTTTAATGAGTTTTCATCTCTTAAATTGCTTTCTGTTGCTGAAACCCGTTTTGCATCAATGGTTGTCATGCTAAAACGATTGAAGTTGTTGAAACGTGCTTTGCAAAATATGGTCATTAGTGACCAATGGAATAGTTATAGAGAAGATGATGTTGGTAAAGCTGCCCATGTGAAAGAACTTATTTTAAATGATATATGGTGGGATAAATAAGACTATATTCTTTCTTTCACTGATCCTATATATAGCATGCTTAGAAAATGTGACACAGATGCTTCTACTCTTCATTTGGTCTATGAAATGTGGGATTCCATGATTGAAAAAGTGAAGACAGTCATATATAGGCATGAGGAAAAGGAAGCAAATGAAGTTTCCAATTTTTATGATGTGGTTCATAATATACTGAATTTTAGGTGGAGTAAGAGTTGTACTCCACTTCATTGTTTGGCCCATTCATTGAACCCAAGGTAAATTTCAACTTAGTTACTGTCTCTTGAAAAATAAAAATCATACTATAACAAATTTTTTAATCATCTGTAGGTATTATAGTGAAGAATGGCTTAGGGAAGCTCCAAATAGAGTTCCTCCACATCAAGATGATGAAGTTTCGAGAGAAAGGAACAAATGTTTGAAGAGATATTTTCCAAATGCTGAAGAAAGAAAAAATGTTTTTGTTGAATTCTCGAATTTCTCATCTTGTGCAGTTGACTTTGCTTTTTTTGATTCGATTGAAGATAGGTGGACATTGGACCCAAAATCTTGGTGGGTAATGCATGGATCTTCTACCCCTTTACTTCAAAAGCTTGCCTTAAAGCTTCTTGTACAACCTTGTTCTTCATCTTGCTGTGAGAGGAATTGGAGTACGTACTCATTCATTCATTCTATGAAGAGAAACAAAATGGATCCAAAAAGGGCTGAGGATTTGGTTTATGTGCATTCCAACCTTCGTCTTTTGTCTAGGAAAGAAGAAAAGTATACTAAAGGAGAGACAAGGATGTGGGATATTAGTGGAGATGTACATGATCCACTTGATAATGGTGCTGGATTTCTTGAATTGGCTGAATTATCTCTTGATGAACCAGACTTAGAAGTTATGTTTTTTGTAGATGATAGAGATGGAGAAAATGAGTGTGACAATGTTAGAATTAAATAGTATAAAGGAAGAACATTTTTTTTGTGATAGTTCTATATTTCTTTTGGATAAAACTACCATTTCTTTTGTGAAATTCTACCTTAAATAGGGGTAAAGTATGTAATTTTTTTATGTGTTCATAGACAAGGAAAGATATGATCGCATGTATTTTTTTGTAAAATGTGATCATTGATATGTAAATGTAACACATTAATATAAATTATCAATATCTCTTTATAAATATTATTTCATTAAATTCATGTTAAAGTATCTAAGCCGTATCGTATCTTAAAATTTAAATTTTTTTCGTATCCCCGTATCGGTGTCGTATCAAGTATCCGGGCTTCATAGATTTCAAGTAATACTAAATTTTGTAATCACCAAGGAACTAGGTATAGTAGTTTGTCCAGAGTAGAAGCAGCTCAAGAAAAGCAAACCAAGAAACTAGGTAGTTTGGAAAAAGAAAGAAAGCATACTATTGCAAGAATGCAAAATCCCTAATGATATAGATCAATGTTAAATAAATTAAAATTAAAAAGCACATAAATTTTGGTAATAACTATTTCCACTTAGGAACAATAAAATCACTGAAGTGGTTATAAGTCTATATGCTTTTAATTTTCATTTTTTTAACATTAATCTACATCATAAGGGATTTTGGTAAAAGTATTTCCACTTAGGAACAATAAAACCACTAAAGTGGTTACAAGTCTATAACTTTTTAGCCACTAATTACTCTTTGACCATCCTTAATCAGTTCAGTGGTTAAATATTGATCTTACAATCTTTCCCTCCAATTTTTGGGGTAAGGGACGGAACAAGTGTTCTTTCCTTATTCCATCATAAAAACATTCAAATAATAAAATGGTAATTTTGTTCTATTTTCCACTTCATTCTATTTAATCCATCACCATTCCAAACATGCCTAAAAAAATGGGAGTAAAATAAAAATCTGCTTAGTTTTTAATAAGGGTAAGATACAATTTGCTTTATCACAACTGAAGGTCGGCAACAATTTGTTTGAAAGAAATAAAAGTCTCTCAATCTCAGCAGAATCATCTCAACTGATGATTTTCCCAGCAACTACAACTGACTCCAAAGTACCAGAAATAATGACAGACCTATGTGATGTAATGTAACACTCCACTGTAACAGCACCGGTATTTGGCACAATTGACTTCTCTAATGTACATGATATTAACTGATGTAAGTACTTATGTTTCCTATTATGATTTATTGTTTTTTGTGCTTATATTCCTGATCCAATCCTAGGTAGGATCTGTAGTTCACACCCTAGGCGCTACTACCCTTTATTTGGATACTATAAGAAAAGAAAAAGAACCCTCTTCCATAGGTAAGTTTCGTTAAGAAAAAAACTCTACTCTATTCATTCGGCTGAGCACCAAATTTATGGGTGCTTGCATCCCCTTTCTATTACCCAAAAAATATCTTCGAAATAAGGATTTTCATCACTTTTCCCCTTCTGTCTCCCTCCTTACAATGAATTCAAACACAGCACAAAAATAGAATACGGTAGAAGATATTTACCCTCCATCTAAATGCTCCTTGAATATCCTCTCAAATGCTCGGCAAAGTTCTAGGATAGTGTATAACTGAGCCTGAATCAGAAATCAACATTCAACAAATACATAGGACATCATGGAATGAATTTTACTCTCTAAATAAATCATCACAAGAACAAACCACTCACCCCAGCATCAAGAGCAATAGGTCTCCCAAGATGATCCATCTCCAATTCAAGTTCCTCAATGCTTTTGTTTATTAAAGACACTATACTAGGTATCCTTGCCCTGATTACTGACTCCAAATGCTACAAAATAAGCTCACATGATTTAAACGATAACCTATCTCAATAAAATATCAGTAGGGAATATCATCAAAAGGCAAACCTGTGAGAGAAGTTTTGCAAGGTATTCTGAACCCATTTTATTGGCCAAGTGCCCATAATCAGGACTGGTTGCAAAATACTCACGCTCCTTGCGTCTAGCAACAATCATATCAACATTTTTATTGATGTCCGCTTGAGATCGATTTACTATACCAACCCAAGGATGCTGCAGCCGATAAGACCTTCCTTCAAGGACCTAGAGCATATAAACCCAGCCAAGAGGATAAAGCAGTTATATAATTTTACAGGAATACTTCAAACTGGAGTATCAAAGGAATATATGCATCAAATAAGAAAGAGAGATATTACATCCAAAGAATTAGTTCCTTTGTCCATCAAATCTAGCTTTGTCAAGACCCCAAATGTCCTTTCACCTAGGCAGATTTAATGGATTTTAGTACAAAATTAAAACAAACAACAGGTAATAATTGGGTATTCCAGGAAGTTATAAGAAAATATACCTGTGGGATCAACTTCCCTAGCAAGTTTAATAGCATCAGAAGTAGCTATGTCCTGATTGGCTGGAGATATTGCTAGTATGATGCAATTAGGCTGTTGAACATAAAGCATGATTAATGTATGTAACTTATTTTTCACAGATACTTTAACAAAGAAACAAATTTTACCCACCCATCACCAACAGAAATGTATAGAAAGGAATGTTATTTGAAAATTGACAGTTCATAATGGTAAACCCAAAATATATGTGAAACTAAATAATGCGTCCACATCCTCATTTATGTGGATAGATAATTAGGAATGGAAATAAGTCAGGATGTCCAACAGAGGCCTACAGCCTATCTTCGTAAAGCCTAACTCAACTTGACCTAATTGTACCCACCCATCACCAACAGAAATGTATAGAAAGGAATGTTATTTGAAAATTGACAGTTCATAATGGTAAACCCAAAATATATGTGAACTAAATAATGCATCTACATCATCATTTATGTGAATAGATGACTAGGAATGAAAATAATTCAAGCTGTCCAATAGGGACCTATGGCCTATCTTTTTAAAGCCTAACCCAACTTGACCTATTTAAATAATAGGCTTAATATAGACTTTTTAAAAGGCTTAATTAATTGAATAGATCAAACTTGAACTAAAGAAAAAGTCTATTAAACCTATTAGAATGATCTATTTAAAACTCATAAAATTTATAACAATATATTAAATAATTTTATATCAAAATTATAATATAATATTATATTAAATAAATTAAATTTTAAAATGAATAAAATCTAAATTATAAACCTAATTCTTTTCGCTGGAGTTGAAGAGTGTTTCTATTATATACCTCGAAGAAAAAAAATCATACTTGCTAGAGTCTTTTGCGTTACTGTTGTTTGATCTGTATTGTATGCATAATATTGATTTATATTTGTGCTGTATCGATTACGTATTTTGATGAAATAAATATGTAATTTTATTACACATATTTAAAGTCTTAAACCATTTTTTTATAGCTCATTTAAATATATGTCTTGTGTGTTTTATAAAGATATACCTATTTAGATCGTTTAATAGCCTATTTATAAAAAAGCTTAATCATCGATTGAAGGTCTCAATATGAAGTAAATCATTAAAAAGACTAATAGACTAAAACATACTTTTAAAAAGGCTTTTATATATGCATGGTTGAAACACACAAATTCATCCACATGTTTTCTCACTTCTCTCTCTTTCAACAAGATATCTAAAGCCTAATAAGAGACTAACTTTAATCTGTATATCTTCAAAGGCCCACTTCCCATTGATAATCTCTTTCTTAACCAAAAATTGACTTCTCTCTCATTTCCAATCTCTTCTGCAACTGTTCACCACTGGTGCACTTTTGTAGCAACCACGTGATTCGAACTGCCTCTTCGTGTGTAACCAAATGCAGCTACACCCATGTTGATTGTCTCAAACACCCTAATAGGCGTAGGCCACCTTTAGTGAAGGTTTATCAGAGGAAGCCTATAAATAGGACAGCTGCAGAGGATTTGAATTGTCAGTCATAACTGTATTAGTTATAACTGTATTTTGTTTCATGCTATATAAATAGTTAGTTAGAGAGGGGGGGAAGATATCTTGGGAGAAATCGGATATTGTAAGGAGAGACTGGAACTCTCGAAATTCTAGTACAAAGGTGCTGTATTGTTTCCTATTCTCTTGTTCAGAGAAGATTCAATAAAAAAATTCTATTCTTTGTTCGGTACCTATCAATATGGAATCAGAGCTCCATCCAGGAGCTGTGGTATTGGTATCATTTATGTGCAAAATAACTACCAGAATGGAGTCAAGAATCGAACGATTGGAGCAATGCATGGAGCTGTGGAACCACGATCAAGAAGCTTGGAATTGCGAGTGAGAAGAGGATCGAAATCGAGAGGAAGAACGATTCCAACGACTAGAAGCATTGGTGGAATCCTTGGTTTGCCATTTTGGAGAAGATGCGAGAAATGACGCAGCGTGTCGGACGGCAGAAGAAGCAGAGCGACGGGCGGAAGATGACCCTCGGTCAGATGCGACAGTAGGTGGGCAACCTGTCGGAGTGAGTGAATGATGGAAGAAGATGAAAATTCTGGTGTACGAAGGAGAAGAAGACGTGTTTGGGTGAGTTAATAAATTGGAACGCTATTTTCGCTTGCAAGGGACCGAGGATGGGGAGAAACTTTAGGCGGTGATGTTGGCACTTGAAGGTAAAGCTCTAAGTTGGTTTCAATGGTGGGAATCATGTCATCCGCACCAAAACTGGGAAGTTTAAAGCAACTATTATTGGTAGATTTCAGCCTGCCATGGTACATAGTCCTTTTGTGGCTTTATTGGCTTTAAGGCAAGAAGGCATGGTGGAGGACTTTGTTTCTCAATTCGAGAAGTTCGCAAGAATACTGAGTGGGGTAGGAGAGAAACATTTGATGGATATATTTGTCAATGGCTTGAGGGAAGAAATTGGAGCTGAGTTGAAATTGTATGAACCTCTGAATCTATCAGCAATGATGAAGAAAATGTTGATGATTGATCAAAAGAATGCAGCACTGATGAAGAATGGTGTTGGGGCCGTAGGGAAGCATGGGAGCAATCATAAACCATCCTCTTTTTCTCGTGGATACAAGGCAGAAAAGGGGAGTGGGAGGAACATATGCTAAAGTTGTTTCAGCTGCATCGTCTGCTGGTAGTAATGGAAGTGGGTCTGGATTTAGAGGACGGGGTGGCAATTTCAAAAGGTTGTCCAATGCGGAAATGCAGGAGAAAATAAGAAAGGGGGAGTGCTTTAGATGTGAGGAAAAATATGGGCCAAATCATATTTGTAAAAATAAACAGTTAAAAGCAATGTTGGAGGAAATGGAGGGTATGAATGGGAGTGAGGAGGACAATTCAGAATGTGGGGAGAGAGGGGCAGAATTCAAGCAATCATCGTTAAATGGTATTACTGGATTTACCTCCAAGAGGTCCCTTAAGGTGTGGGGTGAACTTGGTCAAGAGAGGGTGATAGTGTTGATTGATTGTGGGGCTACCCATAATTTCATCTCCCATGAATTGGTAAAAAGAGCTCAATTACCAGTTCAAGATACGCCTTCCTACGTGGTAGAGGTTGGTGATGGACATAAGGTTCGATGTAAAGGTAAATGTGCTGAAGTTGCCATGATGATACAAAGGGTGCCTATCAAACAAGACTTTTATTTGTTTGAATTAGTGGGGGTAGAGATGGTTTTGGGGCTGGAATGGTTGGCCAGATTAGGAGAAATCAGAGCAAATTTTGAGCAATTAACTCTGAAAATAAGGGTGGAAGGGTAGCTGGTCACATTAAAGGGGAACCAGAGTTAATGAAGGGCAGAACTTCATTGAACTCTATGATTAAGACTATACAGCAAGAAGGGGAAGGTTTTTTGTTGGAGTATTGATTGATTCAGCAGCCTGTATTGACTACAGTTCTGCGACAATATGCTGATCATGCCATACATCTTAAGGAGGGAGCTGCTATTCCCAACATCCGGCCCTATAGGTATCCTCATTACCAAAAACTAAAATTGAAAAGATGGTTAGTGAAATGCTGGTAGCTGGAATTATTAGACCGTGTTTGAGTCCCTATGCTAGTCCTATTATTTTAGTAAAGAAAAAAGATGGAAGTTGGAGGTTTTGTGTGGACTATAGGGCCCTTAACAAGGTGACTATACCTAACAAATTCCCTATTCCCATTATTGATGAATAGGGTAATGCTGAAATTTTTTCAAAACTGGATTTGAGGTCCGGTTATCACCAAATCAGAATGAGAAATGAGGATATTGAGAAGACAGCATTTAGAACTCACGAGGGGCACTACGAGTTTGTAGTGATGCTTTTTGGGCTCACTAATGTGCCATCAACCTTTCAATCTTTGATGAATGAAGTGCTGAGACCATTATTGAGGAAGAATGTATTGGTATTTTTCGATGATATTTTGATCTACAGCAGAAATGACGATGAGCATGCACAGCATTTCGCTGCAATAATGGATCTTCTACAGCAGAATGATTTAAAGGTGAATGGAAAAAAATGTATTATTGGCCAGTATACTTTGGAATATTTGGGCCATATTATTTCAGCGGGTACTGTGGCTGCTGATCCAAAAAAATTAGAATCTATGTGGATTTGGCCTCAGCCTAGAGATATGAAGAGCTTGCGTGGATTTTTAGGTTTGACGGGATATTATAGACGGTTTGTGCAGCAATATGGTCTCATTGCTAGACCATTGACTCAACTCTTAAAGAAGGATAGTTTCTTGTGGAGTGAGGAAGCTCAAGTTGCTTTTGATAGACTCAAGCACGCCATACCTTACTGCCCATGTTGGCTGTTCCAGATTTTTCTAAAACTTTTGTTTTAGAAACTGATGCTTCAGGAACAGGTTTGGGTGCAGTTTTGCTTCAAGATGGGAAGCCTCTTGCTTTTTGGAGCACTGCTTTGCCAGACAGAAATCAGAAGAAATCAGTGTATGAGAGGGAGTTGATGGCAGTAGTTAAAGCTGTGCAAAAGTGGCGACATTATTTTTTGGGAAGTCATTTCATCATACGGACAAACCAAAAAGTTTGAAATTTCTCACTGATCAACGGTTGTGGGCAGAGGAACAGTTTCGTTGGATTTCAAAATTGTTTGGATATGATTTTGAACTACAGTATAAACCAGGCAAAAATAATACAGCAGCTGATGCTATGTCTCACCGAAGCTCTTATTTTTCAATTTCGATTATAAAGATGGCTGATTTTGAGGAGTGGCAAGAGGAGATTCAACAAGATGCTAAGTTGAAGGGTATTATACAGGATTTATTGCTAAACCCAGCCTCTCATGAAGGGTACGTTCTGAAAGATCAGAAACTATTTTATAAAAACAGTTTGGTGTTGCCTAAATCTTCTGCTAAGATTCCCATTATTTTAAAGGAATTTCACTCTTCGTTGATTGGAGGACACTGGTTATTTTAGAATAATTGCCAATGTGGTTTATTGGGAAGGTATGAGGAGTGATATAAAGGAGTTTGTGGCTGCCTGTGATGTGCGTCAGAGAAATAAGTATTCTACTTTGACTCCAGCTGGATTATTAGAACCGTTGCCAATTCCCGCTGTTGTATGGAGAGATATATCCATGGATTTCATGGGGGAGCTGCCAAAATCCAAAGCGAAAGACACTATTTTAGTCGTGGTGGATAGACTAACGAAGTACGCCCATTTCTTGCTGCGGAGTCATCCTTACACTGCTGGAGATGTGGCAGCCATCTTTGTGCATGAAATTATGAGGTTACACAGCTTCCCTAGTTCTATTGTGTCGGATAGGGATATGATTTTTATGAGCAACTTTTGGAGAAGTTTGTTCAAGGCAGTAGGTACCCAGCTGAAGTTCAGTTCCACTTATCACCCGCAATCGGATGGTCAAACGGAAGTGGTTAATAGGAGTGTGGAAGTTTACTTGAGGTGTTTAACTGGGACAAGACCCAAAAACTGGAGTTTGTGTTTGGCTTGGGCTGAATTTTGGTTCAACACAAACTATAACGCATCGAGTAAAATGACTCCCTTTCGGACTTTATATGGGATTGACCCCCGAACGCTTTTAAGGGGTACTGTGATTCCTTCTCGAATGGAAGAAGTGAATCAGCTGCTGCAAAGCCGTGATGAGTTGTTGGTTGAATTAAGGGACAATCTTCTTAAAGCCCAAGATGTGATGCGGGTACATGCTAATAAACATAGAAGAAAGGTGGAGTTTCAGGAGGGTGATTGGGTGTTTTTGAAACTTCAACCTTATCGTCGAAGGTCTTTGGCTAAAAGAGTGAATGAAAAGTTGAGTCATCGATTTTATGGACCTTTCAAGGTGCTGTCTAAGATAGGACAGGTGGCATACAAGCTGGAGTTTCCTCCAACGAGCAGGATTCATCCAGTGTTTCATGTTTTATTGTTGAAAAAAAATGGTGGGTCCGTTAGTTCAGACACAGCCACTGCCGGAAATGTTGTCTGAAGGTCAGGAATTGCTGGTTTGTCCACAAGCAGTTTTGGAGGTTAGAGAATCCACTATGGGTGATGTGGAAGTTTTGATACAATGGCAAGGCATTCCTTCTTGTGAGAATAGTTGGGAATCTGCTGCGAGGATACAAGAGGCATTTCCTGCCTTCCACCTTGAGGACAAGGTGAAGCTTTTGGCGCCGGGTATTGATAGGCGTAGGCCACCTTTAGTGAAGGTTTATCAAAGGAAGCCTAAGAATAGGACAGCTGCAGAGGATTTGAATTGTCAGTCATAACTGTATTAGTTATAACTGTATTTTGTTTCATGCTTTATAAATAATTAGTTAGAAAGGGGGGAAGATATCTTGGGAGAAATCGGATATTGTAAGGAGAGACTAAAACTCTCGAAATTCCAATAGGAAGGTGTTGTACTGTTTCCTATTCTCTTCTCTTGTTCAAAGAAGATTCAATAAAAAAATTCTCTTCTTTGTTCAGTACCTATCACACCCCCTCACGCACTTTAAAATCGAAGTGTGTCAAAAATGTCCAGCCACCATAATCACTGTGCTTGACTACATTTCTCTAATCATTGTCGACATCTATGGCATTGCCATTCCCTTCTTCCGGACTGGGGTTAGTTTGCTTGTTTTTGCTTCCTATAGCCAGGGTTTGGCATTTTTTACACTGTTCACATCAATTTCTCTTGCTTTTGCATTGTCCCATGGCCCAAACAGATTCATTTGCTCCTTCTAAGCTTACTGCTTCAGTTGTGATCTCAACTTCTGCTCCTCATTCCACATACAGTAACTTCCTTCGATGGTACAAGGTGTATCATGCCTTTATTTCCATTGCCTTTGTTGCACACACTAGCAATTCCTTCACCAATATCTCTCACTCTACGTCTCTTGCCGCAAGAGTTGTTGATTCTAGGACTACTACTACATTATCAAAGTCTATTTTCTTTTATCTTTCTACTTCTGGTTATTTACCATTGATAGTTATGACCAATGAGCCTCAAACACAATCTTATGGTCTTGGTATTGTTTATCTCCTTCCATCACTATTCATTAATAATGTTCTTTATATTCATGGATCTCTCTTTAATTTGTTATCCATCAATGTCTAACTCATTCTCTAGATTGCATCATATAAGATAAAGACTATTTTTCTATAGGACCAAAGTTCAGGGTGGATGACTGATATCAGATTAGTGTCACAAGGACTTTATCATCAATATCTCTTGGTTCAAGTTCAGTTAGATCATTCCAGTCTGCAAGCATATTCGCAGTATTTGCAGTTCCCTTCCTAATCATATTAATCACTGAGCTTCATCTCTTTTTAGTTTAGTTCATTATGATGTTTGGGGTCCAAGTTGTACTATGTCTAAGATTTAGGTATTTTGTTACTTTTTTTAATGATTAATCCAGTTGAACTTGGTTATATTTAATAAATATTTTTATTTTCTATATTGCAATCCACTCTTCTTTATGGGAATATTCCTCATCATTTTTGAGGAAATGTCCTTACAGCATGCTACGTTATAAATTGGATGCCTTCTTCCATCCTTAACAATTAGCAACCGCACTTTGTCTTGTTTCTTCATCAATCTATACAATCTTATATGATCCGTTGGGTAGTTGAAACATGAATTCATCCATATGTTCCCTCACTTTTCTCTCTTTCAACATATATATTTAAATTATTAACAACAAATCTTGAGTTACAATATAATAGTTAAGGCTTGAGGAAAGGATATATAACTTAAATTTATTTGTTTCTAGTAAGATCTAGTGAATCTCATTTTTGTACCTTGTTTGACCCTTCAACTATCTCTAGCTAGAAAGAACTTTGATACAGATACATTGAAATGCATCTTGACAAAAACTATAGCAGCTGATGGCTGTTTTTCCATGCAAAAGCATGATTGAGGTGCTATTCCAAACCATTGCAATGAGCACTTGCACATGTACCTAAAGAGACCCATCAGCATATCTAACAACAGAAGATGCTTACATCCAAAGTTTTGTAATTCAGTTGGGGAAAAAGACAAAGCAAACTGATTGAGCCCACACCAAGGATATCTCCAATATATATTCTCTGCATAAGAGAAAAGTATATTTACCTTCTCAACATAAGTGCGAACCATAGTTTCAATTTCTTGTACAATGCTCTCAGGCTGTCCCTCTAAGAAAGATAGACAAAGTTCTCAATTAAAATATAGAGTAACATTTTATGCAAATAATTGATTTGTAATTGGAAATTATATGCAACCCATACCTACAGCCACTTTAGTCAAACCCGGTAAATCAATCAAGGTTAGGTTGACAACTGTTCAAAACAAAACAGGAAAAGCCATAAAATTAGTTAGAAAATAAGGTATAGCACTTCAAATTACAGCCATTTTGTGCATATAAGAATACAATGAAAAAAAAAAAACAGTTAAATATGCTCAATTAAAAATTCACAAATGTATGAATATTCAGAAATAAGAATTTATAATACAATTAATTGACAAGTATTATTCTTATGATCTAAATTACATCAAATTCATGTCTATTTTCACTAGTACAGTCTTGAGCAAGTTCTGAAGAAATATCTGCCCCTAACATCAAAGGAAGTGACAGTTGAGAGCTGCAAATCCAGCTCCACAAAACAGGAGGTAGATAGCTGCTGAAGTAGTTTTCAGCTGCTTTTATAGGCAGAAATAGTAACGAGTATTACTTTTAGGCTCATTATACATTAATATTTGAAAGTTTTCTGATAAACCTATAATTGCATATCAATGGAAAAGGGCACGTGGGTCAAACCATAACAGCACTTGATTTTCAGTTTTTATTTCTAGAAGCTATTCTTTCATGCATTGAGTCATTTGTTCCCATTAAGTAGGGGTTTATGGAGTACATCACATAGTGGTCAAGCTTAGTGCTTTGTAGTGGTATTGCTTAGTGCTTTGTTGCAGTTATTTTTAAATTAAAATAATTATGACCAGCCCTACAACGTTGATTAGACCAATACTTTGATTTTGGTATTCCAGTAGTCTGTTGTTTTCACAAAAGGAATATGGAGGTGAGTAGTCCTTTTGTGCATTTTCCAGTCAAAATAAGCATACTATTTGTCAAAATGGTTGGACTTTGTTGAAGTATAAGTATAACTTTATTCTGGGATTAGGGAGGAAGAAAAGAAAAAAAAAACAACTAATACTAACACAGAATCTATTATTGACTGAACATAATATGATCCATGGGTTGTCTATACTAGTCCTACCTCCAATGCAGCGCCATTTCCCAACTCATCACCAATGGTATCAAAACACCATAGGAGAAGAGTCGACTGTTCAGTTTTGGCACCAGTGCTCTCCCACAATCATAGCACTCTTGTTCCAGTGGAGGTCATAGTGTTTAGATTGCTTTTAAGCATCTATTTACCAATGCCATTGCCTCCTGTGAGATTTTTACCTGCTACAAGCAACCATTTCCAATAGTGTCATATCAGGGACTCCAACTCTCAAGAATGCCTTGATAGTTTTCAACAAAGCGATGCTATTTGCTGATGCTCCTGAGGCTATGATTAGCAAAACCTTTTTCCTCAGACACTTTGAAGCTCAGCATTAGCTTGGTTCCATACGCTACTTGAGCACTCAATCACTAATTGGGACAACTTGGCCTACCAATACACACATCATTTCATCACCTACAAAGAAGTTCTTAAAAATCATTCTATGACAATCATCCAATTGTGAGGGCCATTAAGAAGGACCATTTGCATTGTCTCTAGCAAATTTCTTGAAATTTGCTAGAGAGCAACAAGGTAAATAAAAATGGACACAGCCACCTCAATTCAGGCTACACATCATCTGAGTAGACCAAAAAAAACGAGACAGAATTCAAATTTTGGAAGACTGCCTTGGAAAGGCATAAAGGAATACAAACTCTCAAATGATAGTCCCCAACTCAAAGGCAATACCATTGTATTCAATTATTTCTCACAGTTAATAGAAGAGAATGGTTAACTCCAACCCTTTAAATTGAAGATAAGTAGATAAAATTAATAAATTTTTATTGAGAAAAAAACTACATAATATTTTAAGAATTTAAGAGTGTAATAAATGTTAACATTTTTTTGATTAAAAACTTGTTATTCATAAGTTCATAAACTCAGGTCTAAGGACTGAGATTCTCAAAATTGCTCATAAAATTCTCTATGTTTTACCTTTGACTATTTCAAGATTGTCTACATATATTGAAGACTAGCCTAAGACCACATGAATAGCATGAGTTCAGATTACGTGAAGAATGCAATCTCCTAGGATTGGTATGAAAAAGACCAACCTAAAACTATGTGAAGAATGTGGACTCAGATTACGTAAAGAATGCAACCTCTTAGGACCAACATCCTTGACTCAAATTGCATGAACAACGCAATTGGCTAGGCTATGAAGACATCTTAGGATCAAATGAAAAGCATGAGTTAGGATTGTGTGAAGAACATAACCCCCTAGAAATAATTATGAAGACATCTAGGTACAGATTGCATGAAAAACACAACTCCCTAGACTATGAAAACATCCTTGGCTCGAATTGTATGACGAACACAACATCCTAGGTTAGGATATTGTAGCCTAGGCTACATTGTAGCCTTAGGGGTAGCCTCATCTGCAAAACAAGGGAATATCAAACACTCAGACAAGATAACACAGCATATCGCCATGCCTATGCATTCAGTTGAGGCCAAGTAGATCTTAGCACGTTCTCTGCACCAATGCACTCAACTAAGGCTAGGTTTGGCGCAACACATCACCATATCAATGAACTCAGCCGAGGCCAAGGATAACTCAGCACTTTGCCATGCCGATGCAATAAGCTGGGAAGGCTCTTAATTTGGGGTAACCCACTTAGGCACAATCTTCAAGGCTGTTTTGTGGCCCCACTGCCATATGAAGTCAAATCTCAACTTGAATAAGCATTCATGCCTGTATATTTGGTATTCCATACACATTTGTCATAGGAGATCAAAGCCACCAGTAACACCTATAATCACATAGCCATTAGTAAGGCCTATAATCACAAGGACAATAGAATCATAGACAGTTATGCCACGCTAACACCATAAAGGCTCGCTTCCATATCATGGTTGTCCACCACTCACATCTACGCGCTATTCAACATTCACCATATTCTGTTCTAAGGTATGTGATCTATTCCTTGTTATGTTGCTGTTACAAAAACTAACTTGGAGTTCCTTTTGGCATTGTTCTAAATTTCTATTTCTTATGTTGGAATTTGATTCTAGCCCCCCTTCGTTCATCACCAACCTCTTGTACCAGCTCCATAGTGGCGTTCTCTAGACCATATTAGGCCAATTACTATTGGGCTCACTAGAGATATACCAAATTATCTAGCTTTGGAGATATTCATGGATTTTATTATTTTCATAGAGGATTTTTCTATTAGGTAGAATTTTAAAAACATGAGTTGTTCAGCAACAACTAAAAAAGATACACAGCTTCAACAATCATACCAGTTTGGCAGTTACTCAAAATGTAGTTATTCTTTCGTTAGTTTTTAAGTCATAACAAATAGATACATACTTGAAATGTAGATTTGTTTGCCTGTTTTGGTTAGCATTCCCTACTCTCAAAACGAAGGTTACACACTTTACAAACTGTAGAACTGAGGTCTCCCAAAAGGGAAAAAATATTATTTTGCTAAACAGAGATTGAATCACAGAAACAAAAGGGGCAAGTTGTTTCCAAATGTTGAAATTACAAAGTTCAAGTGGAGAAAGGAGAAACAGAAAAACTTTATATGATATGATATTGATAATTTGATTTGATACAATGCACTTAACAGTATTAGATATTCTAACACTAACTAATTAGGTCAATAAACTAATATTCTAACACTAAACAGTATTAGATATTAAAATAAACTAAATATTCTTTTAATTAGTTCAAATCTATATCATATGATAAATTTATTTAATAGATATCAGATAAATCAAGTAATAATAACAATTGATGCGCACCATTTGGAGAATAGATGCTAAGATGAATTGGAATAGGAGATATTTGTTTCGTCTTCCCTGTTACTCTATCAGTTTCATCCTGAATTTCTTGGCGTACCAAAGCTGCAACCAGAAAAATTGTTTTAAAAAAAGTGAGTTAACATAGTTTATATATATACAGAAAAATAAGAAAGAAACATCTGCGCACAAAATCTCAAACCCAGTAAACTAACTAATCAGTGTCACAACTCACAATTGTCATATGATAAATTGCTAGTCAATGACAAGTATTGACACTTGAACCCCATAAAAAATTAAAAATTTGTCAAACGCGTTAAATTTGATTATTTGTTAACATAGGGACACATGACGTGAGGATGATTCTAAGATTATCAGGAAGGAATATGAGAAATTTATCAGATTGATAATAGAAAATTGAAAGATGATTTCAGATGGCAGAGGCACATTAGCAAATATGCAATTTAGGAACTTCAAGCACAAAGACCGTAACAAGCATTAAAATTCTTTCATGGGTAAAGTCAATCAGAAAACAAAACCCATCTATAATTTGTTAAAACATGTCATTACACATTTACACTTATATGCAAGGAGGGTAACTGTCATACCAAAGTGAGTGAACTTTCTCCTAGGCAGGTGTAGAAACTCGGCATACTCTTGCGATCCACTTTCCATTTTATGAAGCTGTAACACCAATGGACGCCTTGTCACAATCCCTACAATTCATTCACACCAAAGAAAAGTACAATTTAAATTAAATCATACTTTATAAAAAGAGAAAAATAATAAAGAAAAATGAGAAGAAAAAAAAAAGAAAGAAAGAAAAAAAAACAAACCTGATCCTCGAGGCAAAAAGTCACGACCAACGATGCTCTCCAAAACTGAAGACTTCCCTGAACTCTGCTCGAATTTCAAAAGAAATCAGGCACAAAAAAGTTAAAACACGCCCCGTCAACAAAAAAGTTAAAAAAAAAAAGTTAAAAATTCGATTGTTTTTCTTCCACCCCGCCAACTTAATGATGTTATTATGGCTGGGAAAACTAAAATTCAGACCCACAGCCAAAACACCATTTCGAAAAAAACAGCTACATCCAGTAAAAATCCACAATAACAGAACAACGATAAGAACCCAATTCCAACTATCTTATTATCCACCGAAATTTTCAAAAACTCACACACCCACCCAGTAAGCAAAAACAAAGAACCCAAAATAGCCACCGCTGACAAAAGAACACTCTCCAAAACTGAACACTTTCTGAACTCAGCTAAAATTACAACAAAAGAAAAAAAAAATCAGAACCACAAAAAATTTTGCCTGAAAATTCGAAAACTCAACTCTTCAAAAAAAAAAAAAAAAACACACCACTTCCGAAAATTTGATTTTCGTTCTCAGCCACAAAATTCAAGGACGTTGACACTGAGAATGATAAAAAAAAAAATATCGATAGGTTGTGACGAACCTGGCCACCGACAACAGCAACAGAAGGAAGAGCTTCCCAGAGAGACGAGAAGGTGTTGTTATCAGCACCTCCATAGTCACCGAGCACCGTGCAAGCCCTCTGAATTCGGTTCACCAGCCCAATCAAGCTCTCCATAGTCGTCATCTCCTTTCACAAAACCCTAGATTCCCAGAACCAGCTTAAAACGACGATGTAGAACGCAAACTAGAGCACTAAAAACACGACGAAGATTCGAGAAAGAGAGATAAAACTACTGCGCCTTTTGTTTTCAGACAATGGTCAAGCACTAGTCACTCCCAGTTGAAGACCAGCTAATAGAACGGTACGCACCGTTTTGGACTTTTTGTTCGTGTTAACGAAAGTTGCGTTTTCGAAATTTGAAATTTTGAAACCCGAAGTGGAGTCCGCTGAAGTTGTTGGCAGGGTCCACCCCAATCTTGTGACTTTAGACGACTCAATCCGAACGTTGGATTGACAGTGCGGTGAGTCGTAAAAACGGCATCAGGAGCCAAATTAAACCGTTTTGCAATATCAAGGGTATTTTTTGTAAATCAAGCTAAAAGACAATAAAATTAATGTATGTATTGAAGTTTTAATTGTGAAACAGATAAGTTATCTTTTAAAAAAAACATTAAAGGGTGAAAATATAATAGGAACATTAGTAACTATCTTTTAAAAGCTAAACGCTACTTTAAATATATTTTAAAAAGTTAATTTTTAAAAATTATAAGGTTATTTCATTTTTTTTTAATCAACCTTGTACCACCCTCAATTTTGTAGCTTTTGTATGGAAAAATAAGAATTTTGGTGCAAGATATCTTGCTATAGCAAGAAAGAGCGTCCAGAATCAAGCTTTCTAATACTTTCTCGCTATAACTAGAATCTCTCGCTGTAACGAAAAAGTTCTTGCTATAGTTAGAATGACAGACAGCAAAGGAAAAATTTGTCTAATTTTTTTGCTATAGCGAGAGGAAGGCTCGTTGTAGCGAGAATATCACGAGTTAAAGGATATTTAAGGGCCTTCAACCTAGAAAACTTGGATTACAATATAAAATCTTGACCTCCTCTCTATTCTCTCTAATCTCTCACCCTCTCTTCTCAAAAATCTTCCTCCAAACTTCAATCTTCCTTTGAATTTGGTTTTGAAAGTTCAACCATTCAGATCCAAGAAACTTTAACCCTTAAGATGATATTCTCTACTAGGATGTTGTGCTTCTCCCTTATATCTCTAGAAAAACTTGATCTAAGAGACCAATTTCCAAGTAAGGGAAGTTGATTTCAAACCTTAACTTCTTCTTGATATTTTGGTTTGAAAATACTAGGTTTTCTATTGGGACCCTAGAATACTAAGGTTTTATTAAAAATCTATGTGTGTAGGAATAGAGAGTTTAACACGAAAAACCTATGCTTATTTTCAAAACTAACTAAATATAATTTATAACTAAAGCTTTGAACAAAACTATTTCAAGAAATATTATGATTTTACTAGTAAACCTTGTTCAGCGGTAATTGAAGATTTACACATTTGATATTTTTGGAATAATAGATATACTGTGAACATTGGTTGTTACCGAACTTTGGATAGATGACTATAATGAAATTGTACGATTGGCTGAGTCTAGAGTTGTCCGACCTCCAGCACATTGTATTAATATGTGTAGTGTGAAATCGTTTGATGATGTTCTATGTTAGATGAATATTTGTTGATGACTAAGGTATGTTGAAATGGATGAAATTAGGTTATTGATGAAAAGTGTTATATTGTTCTCAAATAAAGAAAGAGTTTTATATATAAAAGTAAATGATATGACATGATGAAGGAATTATGAGAAATGTGATTATAATATGTGAATCAGATAGATTGATGAATGTTATTACGATACATGTGTTGTGATACATCAAAAGTTGTACTTATAATACATGTATTATAATACATTAAGTTATATGATCAAGACTCGCGTATTATGACATGTTCATCTATAAGAAGGATATGGAAAAGAATGAGAATAGTTGAGAAATGTCGAGAAAAGAGAATAATATGAGAAATGCTGAAAATAAGTATAGATAGTTACAAAGATACACTGGGGTATAATGTTTGGAGAAGATTTGGGAAATAATAGTGAAATAAGAGTGGTCAATGCTAATTGTAAATGGGTGCACAATGATTTGTTGAAAGTAAAAGCATTCACAAGTCACACACTTGTTTCCTGATGAGACTTCTGACTATGCCTTTGTTAAAAGGGGCCGAGTCGGCACACCTTTCTCCATTTTTATTATATTCATTTCCATAAAATCTCAGAGAGAATAACACATTTTTCGTATAACCATTAATCAAATTTACAAAAATAAAATCTTTCATAACAGTTAATTCATATACAAAACATATTTGAGAAGATAATTGCATGAAATATAATACAAATTAATATTCACATATCATTATCCATAACATGTCAAAATTTACAGCAGTTCATACTCATTCCCATATACTGAGAACCCGAAACTAAACATTTATATCATGTTAGCCCTCAATTTCCATCAATTCCTCAGTAGTTAATTCACCATCCTCTCTGAGATAGGCATTACCAGAGTCTACTATTAATTCTATACCAAGAAATCTCTCAAATGTATAATTGTTAGCTCTTCCTAGCAAATCATGATCATGATAAGTAAATACATTATTCATGATTTGAGAAGGCCTTTTAGTTCCCTAGTATAGATAAAAACTAAGAGATTGATGAATTTGACCACTGGTTGGGAAATCAAACAGAACTGCATAATTATAGACTATTTCTAATGTGCACTCCTGATTTTCCTCAAAATGTACCCTAAAATACAAATGTACTACACGTCTATATTTGCTAAAAACATAGTTTAATCTACTACTAACAAAGACATCTACTACATCAATCCGCATGGAATGAGTTGTCATCTTTACTACCTGCAGGATGATGTAAGGGTGAGCGTTTATCCCTATTTTACAATACATTGTAAAGATATCATAACATTTTCAAAACAACATCATGATTATACAATTAGATGATAACCACACATTATATATATATATATATATATATATATATATATATATATATATATATATATATATCATCCATCACTCACGTTCACACAATCTCATTGACACTTCCATTCTCAAATTCGCACTTTAAGTATACTGTGATCACAGTCATTCGATGCCTCCAGCAATTCTCGAGGTCTTAGTTAATAATGTAAACAGTTGCTGGTTAGCTCATGCAATACGGATACAACATATGCAATCACGAGCCCCTTAGCAAAGACATAGTCATAAGTCTAGTTAGGAAACGAGTATGAGGCCATGTGGCACATTCGCACTCAACAATAACGTGCACAATCGCGAATGTAGTTCACCACCCTACATTTCCCTAAGATTTCTTTATCTTCTCTGGACTCTATACCCCTAATGTATCTTTGTAACTATTTACACTAATTCATTCAGTACTCATACCCATTCCACAATCTAATCATAAAATTGTGCTTAATAACACTTCCATACTAATTCCATATTGCTCATTACTGACTCATGATCTCAATAATCATATCATTCAACAAATCATCGATGACATATTTATCATTTTTAGACAGCAATAAAGTTATATCACATCCAGTACATTCATTAAACTTGTTTAACTATAATATTATGTTGTTTCATCATATATTTCATATTTACACAGTATAATCAGTTAACCAAACCATCAAACATATGTATATTAGCAATTTTTCTTCATTAACACTCATTTTTCATACATATCTCATCAAAATTGCTACATAAACATGCTCTCACGAACTCAACATATAACTTACATCATATAATGATAGAAAAGAGCTCCCCTTACCTTACAATAAAAATCTAAATGGAGATTGATGATGAAAAATGTCCTAAAATAGCACTTCTACCTAGATAACATGAATTTATTCCTTAAGAACAAAATTCAAAGAAAACGAACAGTAAAAACACGATTAAACTTAAGGAAACTGCTCTAGGATCGCTTAAACGTATTTAGAGAATAATTAGTTTTTGGAGAGGTTTTATGTAACATCCTTATTTTTATTCAACACAATAAGAATATAATTTTTAGAATACAATGGAAAATTTGTTAAATTTATTAACGGGCGAATATAACAATGAAATCATAACATATTCCGTGATTTTTGCTCAAATGTATTAGAACTTTGAATAACAAAGCAATAATAATTAAACAAACTTTAAGAGGAAACATTAAAATGTTATGGTCATACCTTGAATTCATAATATACAAGATATTAATATTTACAAAATATTCATTAAAATACAATAAAATACATTAGGACTCTTTTCCAACATTTTCAAAATACAAAACATAATAAGTCTTAATAAGCAATCTATCTATTATGTGACCAAAGAGACAATAGTCATCTTCGTGTCATCCCTCTATCATCGTTATATCATCGGAGTCGAGGTCATCATCCGATTTGAGATATAGATCACCATGGTCTGCAGTAACCTGGGTGCTCGTAATCTGCTCAAACGTCCATGAGATGGTCTCCCAAGATGATCGTGGTCAGATACGTGAATAGATAGGTCAAAGCTGCTGGGGTTCTCATGGTACCAAGAAAGATATATACACAGAGGGTATGATAAATTCTACTAACAGGAAAATCAAAAGGAATACTATAAGCTAATTTCATTTCCATCATAATAAAGTCACTAGGTACATCATTTACATATACAACAATCCTAAAGAAACAAAGTCTCTGATACTTATTAAATCATAATTCAATCTATTAGTTACAGAACTATCTACTAATCTAATTCTCTCGGTGGGTGCTGTCATCTTGTTTCCTTGAAATGTTTACGTAAAGATGAGTCTTTATTTTCATTACTAAGCATACATTCACAGATAATTCAATGATACAGATAAAGAAGTCATGTAAGCATTATATAACAAAATCATTAATCATCAAATTTATTCAACTTAGGTCCATTACTACTAACACTTTCAGTTCTCACTTTCACTGTCTCTGGGATTCCTCAAGGTCTTCCTTAGCATAGATAGTTGCTGAATAGCCATAGCTACATGGATACAACATGTGCTGACCCAGCCCCATTTAGCAAAAGCATGGTCAGGAGTATTAGTCAAGAAACAAGTGTAAGGCCTGTGGTGCTCATACTCCCATTTGTCTTGCACAATTCAAGAGGAGCATCCACCACCCTCATTTTCCCAAGTCTCAATCTTCTTTATCTTCTACACATCCAATATACCTCTGAACTATCTATACTCATCCTTATCATATCCCTTTCTCATTTCATTTCTCATTTCATGTTTTCTATCTCATTTCTCTATATTTTACTCTA